AAAAAAAAAAAATTGGAGAGAGGGAGGACAAGAGGGAGGGAAAGAACAAGCGGAGAGAGAGAGTTCAGCTGAGCCCAATGATTTTTGTGTGTTAAGCTCTGAAAATACTTTCGGGAGAACACAGTGATATCATTTACAAGTTCTCTGTGGAAAACCGGTAAATTCAGTACCAGAGTGGAAAGCCAGGTCGGCACTAAGACATCTACTGAAAATTAGGTCTCATGTTGATAGAGGAGAAGACGACACAGGTCGACTGTTTTAAAGATCACTGGCATTTTAACCTGATCTAAACCTGATTTTAGAACCTGATCTAAAAACCAATTTTTCGGCCAGGAGTGGCAGCTCACACCTGTAATCACAGCACTTTGGGAGGCTGAGGCAGGTCAATCACCTGAGATCAGGAGTTCGAGACCAGCCTGGCCAACATGGTGAAACCAGTCTCTACTAAAAATACAAAAAAATCAGCTGGGGGTGGTGACGGGCGCCTGTAAATCCCAGCTACTTGTAAGGCCGAGGCAAGGAGAGTCGCTTGAACCTCTCCATCCCGGGCAAAAGTTCGAGACTCCGTCTCAAAAAACAAACAAAAACACACAAAACCAACACACACACACATGAAACGATGCTTTCTGCGTCACATCGGAATGTCATACACTGGAGAGCTGCATGTGGTTTTCTGTGCTAACTGATACACAACGACATAAATATCACACTAAGACAAAATATACATCAGCAATGATCAGAAAGGCTCTCACGCACCACCATCGCACTCCACCCGCCCTCTCTGTGCCCCTGGATGTAAGTGTGTGCAGCTACGGTCCCCATCGTACCTCAGGCTCCATGTGCCTTGGAAAAAGGGAGGTGGTGAGGTATTTGTATAAAATTCTCATGTCGTCTTGTTCTAATCCACTCCTGGAACATCAGAAAAGCACTGGGTTAAACGTTTTGGAATTGTCTTCCGTCTTTCCACTGCTGTGATAAAGCTCATTTAAAAAAAAATTTTTTTTCTCAAGTCATTTTTAGTGACACAGAATAAATTCTAACTTTTTAAAGTCTAAAGCTACATAAAACTCAAAACAATCTATTTTTCTACCTGAGATCAAAATGAGTTTCCTTTTTCCTAAACATAATTCTTAGCACTGAGGTAAATCTGAATTTATGTGGTATACTTTGTCAAACTTTTCCAAAAAAATTTAAGCCCTGGATAAAGCTCATTTTTTATTTAAAAAAAAAAAAAAAAAAAAAGAAAACTTTGAGACAATGTCTTGCTCTGTCACCCAGGCCGGGTGCAGTGGTGCGATCACGGCTCATTGTAGCCTCGGCCTCCAGGGCTTAAGCCGTCCTCCCATTTCAGCCTCCGGACTAGCTGGGACTACAGGCGTGCACCACCATGCCCAACTAATTTTTCTACTTTATGTAGAGATGGGGGTCTTGCTATGTCACCAGGCTGGTTTCAAACTCCTGGACTCAAGCAGTGCTCCTGCCTCAGCCTCCTAAAGTGCTGGGATTACGTATGTGAGCCACTGTGCCTGGCCTCATCTTTTTTCAGTTTTCAAGAGATGAGTCTCGTCTGTTGCCCAGGCTGGATTACAGTGGTGTGACCACAGCTCGCTGCAGCCTCCGATTCCTAGGCTCAAGCGAACCTCCCACCTCAGCATCCTGAGTAGCTGGGACTACTGGTGCTTTTTTCTTTAACATTATATCAAGAGGCTCACCTCCTGACTGCGAAGTTCAGGAAGGCAAAGAGTTAAACTGGAGTCCAGGCACTGGAACTTCATCCTGACCTGCAAAAGGCTACTCCTACATAGTCTTGTATTTTACAAGCCATTTGAGATAAAAAGTCACAAGGGATCGGACTGGTTGAATTCCATGTAGGATTATGCAGGAAACCTCCAAAGCCACACTGTTTCATTTTAGCAGATGTCTCTTAGCTTCCTGGGTTATACGGTAACCCCACATTCTCTCCCCTAGTCCCCCGGGAAAATATGGGTGTGCTGTAGACAGGGAACGTGATCCTAGGTCTCAGAAAGGTACATGGATTTTAATTCTCCGCATC